AGGCAGGCAGGTGAGCGATTAGGAGCCAGTGGTCCAGGATTGTGAGGGGGTTGTCCGACTGCCGGTTTAGGCCTGATCCTGATTGGGCCTAAACCGGCAGTCGGACATCCCTTGAGGGGTCCTAGATTGGAGAGGGTGCAGGCTGGGCTGAGGGGGCCCACCCCCCCGCCCTGCACGGATTTTGTGCACCAGGCCTCTAGTTTTATATAAGGCGACATGTGTTTAAAAAATGAGAATAAAGAGAAAAATCAGAGAGGGAACAAACAAGATTTGTCAGAGGAGCACAGAGCAGTACTGAGTAGGCTCTGGGCTGGGTGAGGCCAGTGCGACTCCAAGGTGCCAGGCCCCAGGTGAGCACAGCCTCCAGGTGAGCCTCAGCCCCCAGGTGAGCATGGACCCCAGGGCCGGAGAACCTCGGACCTTCCAGATCACCTCAGGGATGTCTGGCAGAATATGATCTTTTCCGTGGCTCAACACTCACTTTAGGTGAATGGGAAGTGGCCACAGTTAAAAAGGACAGGACTTCTTTAGAAAGTCTGACACATTTTTTGGTTTGTGATTTTTTTCAGCAGTAGTTAATAAAAGGCCAAGATGTACATGTTCCAAACACCTCCTTGCTGCCCACACCTAATCTCAGGGCTACACACCTGTTACTGTGTTATGGGAGAGAAGACACATTGAGCCAATGTCAACACTTCCGTCGGGCAGGCAGGGGCAGGGCAGCATAACTCACCCTGTGTGCTGGCTCGGGCTGGGAGGAGGGAGGCCTGGGAGGTCACAGGGAGTCCAGCTCCACTCGGGATGCATCTCACGCCAGCCCTGTTCCCGGGACCTTCTCACCTGGTCGGCCGTCTGCGGTGTCTGGGGCCCTGCCACACAGCCCACTCCAAGCAAGAATGTTTCCTAACAAAAATGCACCTGCAACAGAGATGAGACTCCAGCCTCCGAGAAGGGTGTGTGTGTGCACAGAGTGCACCGCAGCGCCCACACCCCAGGAGGAGGCTCCAGAGCCCAGGGTCTTGGGCCGTGTTCCAGTGCCGCCCGGCTGCACCGGGTTTGTCTAAAACCCAGTGCTTCACAGGAGGTGGAAAGTCTATTCCTGCTCCAGCACCTCCTCCTGTCTGATCAGGCAGCCCTGCAGTGGTTCTCAAACTTCTGGCCCTTTAAATACAGTTCCTCATGTTGTGACCCAACCATAACATTATTTTCGTTGCTACTTCATAACTGTAATGTTGCTACTGTTATGCATTGTCATGTAAATATCTGATATGCAGGATGGTCTCAGGCGACCCCTGTGAAAAAGTCGTTTGACCGCCAAAGGGGTCGCAACCCACAGGTTGAGAACCGCTGCCTTAGAGCATCTGAGCATGAAACCTCTCAGAAGCACAGCTACTAATGAGCACAAGAGGTACTGTCACCTTTTTGACTGGGCCCTGCTGGCTGGTTTGGAAAACCCCTCACTTGTAAGGCAGGTATGCTGCCTGCACCAAACCCTGGGCAGAGGCTTCCTGATGGGACCACGGTGGCGCCGAATCCTTCCCTCTCCAGGTGAGGTTCTGGATCTGCAGGGACATGAGGGAGCACACATGTCATTTATGCTCAAGGCCAGAGCGTCTCCTGCACTGAGTGCTCTGTCACATGCCAGGGAGTGAAGGCCAAAACACCGGCTTGGGTTCAGGGCCTGGAACGATGCCACTGGGAGAGGACTCTGTGGGGCTTTCATTCTAGAGATAGAGAGACCTGGGAGCTGGGAGAGAGTCAGTTCCCCAGGAGCACAGAGCTATGCCAGCACCGAGCTCCTGCAGGGTGACTTGTCACTGTCGGAGTGCCTTGTCTTCTCTCTGGGGCTGAGAAACAGGATCTGCATCTGCTTCAGAAACAGCTGAAGTGATGGTCTGTCGGTGTGAGCCTCTGTTTCAGAAAACCTCTGTATTAAAGAGAGTGACTCGCAATCGATCTGTTTTCCTTTCGCTTAGGTCTGTGCAATAGAAGCGCACAGGTCAAAGAGCATCGACAGAACGATGGGAGGGCGTCAGGGCCACGTCCGCACCCTCAGTTCACAGGGGACGAAGCTGAGGCGCAGAGAGTAAGTGGCTTTCTCAGCCGCCCCACG